GAATAAATTAGTCATAATCAATTCTTTCTTTGTTAATAATTAATTAAATATGAATAAAAAATATTATTATTAGTATAGTAATTTCCAATTAATTAATTTTTGTTCATTTTCAACATTTAATGATCTGTAAATTTATTCACTAAAATCCATTGAAACGGAATTACTACTACGTAATTTTGAACAGAATAACTGGGTTGACCATGTGGTTTGTGGGCTAGCACTAGACCCTATAAATTATGCATGCAAATAGTGGTTGTATCCACTGAATGATATTCATCGATTATTCACTGATTATCTGGTTAATTGGGTGTTGAAAATTTTTCATTGATTAATTAATCGGGTGTTGAAAATTTTCACCAGATAATTGGTCAATAATGGTACAGAAATATAAAAAATAAAAATTTTTATCTGTGTAATTGAAAGAATACAATAACAGGTAAATACTATAGTATCCACGATTGCACTATCACCAATATTATAATAATATATCAAGTAATTTGAATACTAACTGTGTCATTATTATTAAAGAATATTTATGCATTGCAGTAACTTCTACTCCAAATGAGCGACCTTTTCACAGCAGACTATAATTATAACGAATTTTTAAATTTTTGTTTCGCATAAAATCCATTGTGGGCAAGTTATTGAATCAATTTTTTAATTTTAACCAGCTATCATGAACGTTGTAATAGACATAACAGTGGGGGAAAGGTATCATTCACGCGTAAGGAAAGGATTGGATAGTAATAAAAAGCTAAGTCATATTTATTTGTTTTTTTTTTTTTTGTTTTTTTAAAATATATAATTAATTATAAATACATGATAAAAAATTGCCAGGGCAACTACATGGAATCCAAGACTTCTACAAATTGCACCATTACATTAGTAAAGCTATTATTTAAATACATTATGTTTATAGTCATTATTATAGGGTGTTTATGGCAGTGAGTTGGTTTTGATATTTTTCACACCTTTAAAATGACTACTTTTTCCAATACTTCATTATGTTTTTTTTTTAACTTAAAAAGGTTCATTACACTTTGTTTTTTTATAGAGTTATTACCTTTAATTAAAAGGTTTCATAAACAAATATAATCAGTAGTAGTATAGTTGACTCAGTCTAAAGACCTCCTAAATTTTGCACAAATTTTAAAAGTATAGAAGTCACTTTCTGTCCTACCTTTTAAAAAATAGCGTTATTAGTTGATAGAATTATAATACATGAAGTCGAAATTAAAACCCCAAAGTCGAAATGTTTCAACTTGAGGCAACT